ATATTCGTACGAAAAATTAAAAGTTGATTCTGTCTTCTATGAAAAAAACGACAAATGAATAATTCTAACCAACATTGTATTCAAATTTGATGTTGCATTCGCACAATAATTTTGCAGTTGGTTTTGTTATGTACCAATAGAGAACAAATGAATAGTTCATACAAACATTTGATTCTAATGCTTTGCTCTATTTGAACCAAAGATCAGCAGTTGATTTTGTTGTGTAGCAAAAGACAAAAAAATGAATAGTTCTTAGGAGCATTTTTTTCAAATGTCTAGCTCCAGTCGAACCGAAGATTTAGACTTGATTTAGTTATCTAGAAACAGACAACAGATGAATAACTCAAACCAACATTGTGTTCAAAGATTTTTCGCACTTTGAAGCCAAGTTCTGGTGGTATTAATACAGTTGAGTATCAGATGGAGATCGAACACTTTGTAGGTGGATGATTTTATTCACATATTTTGGTACATGCGAACCAAATATTTGGAGATAATTTCGATATCTACGAAGAAATAACAAATGAATATCTCAAACCATATCTATGTGCAAATATATTGTTTCATTCGAGCGATGAATTTTGATTTGGTTTTCTTATCTATGAACAGAGTAGAAGTGGATAGATGATACAAATATTTTATTCAGATATTTTGTGCTATTCGGACAACGGATTTGGATTTGCTTTTGTTATCTAAGAATAATCTATAAATGAATAGTTCTTAGGAACATGCGATGCAAATATTTTGCTGCATTCGAGCGAAAGATTTGAAGTTGATTTGGATACCTACGAACAAAAAAGGAATGAATAGTCCAAACCAATATTGTATTTAAATATTTTGCTACATGGAAGGCAATGATTTCGTTTGGATTTTGGTATGTACGCACAGTCAATAGAGGAATAGTTCATAGGAACATTGTGTTGAAATATTTTGCTCAATTCAAACGGAAGAGTTCGAGTAGTTTTTGTTATCTGCGAACAGTCGACAAATGAATAGTTCATAGGAATATTGTTTTCAAATATGTTGCTCCATTGGAACTAAATAGTTGAGTTTTGTTTTCTTATATATAAGAACAAACGACAAATGAATAATTCAAACCAATATGCTATTCAAACATTTTGCTGACTTTGAACCCAACTGCTAGAAATAATGATGTAGTTCGGAATCAGATAGGAAATGAACGCTTTGTACATTTAGCGTTCTATTCCAGTATTTTGCTACACTCAAATCCAGGATTTGGAGATAATTTTGTTATCTACGAATAAACAACATATGCATAATTCCGACCAATATTCTATTCAAATATTTTGTTGGATTCGAATCGGAAGTTTCGAGTTGATTTTGTTATCTAATAATAGACAATAAATGAATTAGTGACAGGAATATTCTATTCATGTATTTTGCTTCTTTGAAACCAGAGATCTCAGGTTGATTTTATTATTGAGGAACAGAGATGAAATGAGTAGTTGATAGGAAGATTTTATTCAAATGTTTTTCTCAGATCCAAGGAAGGATTTAGAGTTAATTTTGTTATTGACAAATGAACAACAAATGGATGACTCAAACCAACATTCTATTCAAATATTTTGCTCACTTTGAAGTCAAGCTCTAGAAGTACTAATATACATGAGAATCGGTCAGAAAATGAACTCTTTTTAGGTGGAGGGTTGTATTCAAATATTTTGTGTCTCTCTAACCAAAGAACTGGAGATGGTTTTGTTATCTACGAACGAACTACAAATGAATAATTTGAACAAACACGCTAATGAAATATTTTGTTGCATTCAGACGAAAGATTTTGAGTTAGTTTTGTTTTCTAAGAACCGACAAGATGTGAATAACTCATAAGAAGATTTTTTTCAAATATTTTGCTAGCTTTGGAGTAAAGATTTGGAGATAACTTGGTTTTACCCAAATAAACAAAAAATGAATAATTCAAACAATAACTGTAGTCAAATATTTTGTTGCGTTCGAACGAAATATCTTGAGTCGATTTCGTTTTCGACAAACAAACAACAAATGAATAGTTCACAGGAACGTTCTATTCAAATAATTTGCTCTATTTGAATGAAAGATTTAGAGTTGCTTTTCTTGTGTAGGGAGAGGCAAACTATGAATAGGTCATAGAAACATTTTATTCACACATTTTACTCACTTTCAAGTCAACTCGTGGAGGTACTGATATCGATGGGAATTGGATAAGAAATAAACGCTTTGTAGATAGAGGGTTCGATTGAAATACTTTGTTTCATTGGAAGCAAAGATTTGGAGTTGTTTTTGTTATCTACGAACAGACTTCAAATGAAGAATACAAACCAATATTCTATTCAAACATTTTGCTTATTTTCAGGGCAGTTTCTAAAAATACTGATATAAATGGAAATTAGATGAGAAATGAACACTTTGTAGCTCTAGTGTTCTATTCGAATACTGCACTATGTGGTGTAAGAGACATGTGTTTTCTTCTGAGTAGGAGATACTATATGCATCTTGACTGGTGCGGGCCTGTGGTATGTTGATTATTGCGGCGAACGCACACAGGACGAACATGCAAATCATTTGCCTTTGCTTCTGCATTGTCTGTTGTTACTTTTTGAGTCGAAGGTAACTATGGTAGATGGAAATGAGTAAGTATATAAATACTTTTTCGTGCAGTGGTGTTGTTGCTTAATTATCGGAAGATTGGAATGAAGTGATGTGAATACCGATGCGCTTGTGATTTTATACGTAGCAATGAGTGAGTGGGAATTTCCCACTATTATGGGGAATTTTTTATCCTCAGGTAAGAATGTTCCGCTGATCGGCATGAATGTCCCACTTCCATTGGGAATCCCCCATCTACTAGCGAAAATTTCTCACTTATCGCGGGAAAATGTTGACAATTAGGTCAGTTATTGATGATACTACGTGACTGCGCCCACTGTGAAGATTTATTCAATAGATATTTGTATTTGACTAAACATGAAATGATCGAATCTTGCTTTTGAGCAGTCGATGCATGTAAGGGATAGCAAAAGGCTTAAATAGTATCAAAAAGTGGTCTGTAGCTGCAATGAAAAATATTCAAACCACTTTTTCCGACTCTTTATTCTCAGCTATTATCTTTGTGTCGATGTGGTAATCGAAGATAGCACCCATCAAATCATCGAGAATTGTGGCAGCAACAGAGGCACTTCTGAAATCTTTTGCTTTTTTTGACTTGATATACGCATCTTTATCAGCACCATCTGAAAACAGTCTTGTCAAACTTCATGATCTGACCAGGACTCTCCTGATTGTGATGTTATTCTCCTAATTGAAGTTTTCCTTAGATTCAGGAGCTGATGTTTAAAACTTCCATCTGATTTCTTCTGGCTTTTTAAACAATTTTCTTCATCTGTTTCGCGAAGCTCTATACTATGAAATTCGTCGAAGAATACGACAAAATCAACGATGAATAGGAAAAAGGGCTACTACTACGTAGAAGAGCAAATCACAACCAGTTTCATCCTTGCTCAAGGGACTTCTCAGATGATTTAAGACATTTTAATTCGATTGCAATTAGAAATTAAATTAAAACATCATCTATACTGTTGTGTAAGAAGCAATTTTTTGACAACGTGTGGTGGATGTTGGCGTAAATATATGACTAGAATGTACGCCGTATCACGCCAATAGTTGTTTCTGCCTTGATGGGACTTCATCAAGTGGTATCTTAAGAGTGCGCCCATGAAGAGTGCCAGAAATAGAGGCACTGGTGAAAATTTAGATTTTTTATTTTTATGTGCATTTGAAAGGCCATAGTCTAAAATCATGAAACCTAAATTTTTAGCTCATTTGGATATATTCTAGTATGGTTAGCCAATATCGGCTTTAGAGTACTACCAATAGATTATCGAAACAATAGGTGCTAGGGCAATTTATCGCCGGACTATTCGTTGCTGACGTTTCGCCACGGACAATTCGTCGCATGGAGAATTCGTCGCAGGGCAATTCTTTGTAGGCATTTCGTCGCACGGACAATTCGGCGCAGAACATTTCATTGCGAACGTTTCGTCGCGGACTATTTGTCGCACGGACAACTCGGCGCAGACATTTCGTGGCATGGACAATTAGTCGCGGACGTTTCGTCGCCCTACTGTTCATCGCACGGACAATTCGTCGCGGATATTTCGTCGCATGGAGAATTCGACGCAGAACAATTCGTTGTAGGCATTTCGTCGCACGGACAATTCGGCGCAGGACAATTCGCCGCCGGATAATTCATCGCGGACGTTTTGTCGGACGGACTAGTCGGCGCAGACATTACATCGCATGGAGAATTCGACGCAGGATACTTCGTCGCAGATATTTTGTCGCATGGACAATTAGTGGTAGAACAATTCGTCGCAAGACTATAGTTCAATTATATCGTATAATTGAATTATAGTCTTGCGAGGAACTGCCCGCAACAAATTGTTCTTTGATGAATTATCCGTCCGATGAATTGTCCGGTCACCGAAAAAATAATCAAAAATTGTAGCACAAATGTTTATCAGAATTATGCCTTAAGGTTCGATTCAGTTGATTTTTGGAAAAATCTGAATCGTCCCATCTCTGATATGGACTACGACTGGTTAAAAAAAATTACATTTTCAGTATTAATAGCTAAAATCATACGAAACGAATATATTTTGAGGTACAATGCCGGTTGGTCATGTTCATATATTTAAACACTAAGAACATATGAAAATATAATTATATCTCCTACTACCACCACTCTATGCTGTCAGATTTTAGTTCGGATTTTTTTTTGGAGAACTATAAAAAGAAAAAGTTATAAATATTCTTATATATTTGTTGAATTAATGATTAAATAAAAAATTTAGTTAAATATCAATATAAAATAAAATAATCTGTCTTTGCCTGATTGAAGAATCTACAGATGACTCTTTGGATATTGAAGATTGTTTAGTTTTTATTTAGTGTATTGTCATTTAAAACAAATCAATATTTCTTTTTGTAGATTTTATTGCTAAAAAATGGCTGGCGAATATGATACAGCAATAACAGTATTTTCACCGGATGGTCGTCTCTTTCAATTTGAATATGCACAAGAAGCTGCAAAAAAAAAGGTTCAACTGCTGTTGGTGTACGTGCCAAAAATATTGCTGTTCTAGGAGTTGAAGAAAAGCTGTAGCTGTTTTACAAGAAGATCGGAAAGATTTTTCTTTTTTTTTTAATGCTTTGTTGTTTTTTAGAACGGTTCGTAAAATTTGTGTACTTGATGATCATGTTGCTATGGCATTTGCTGGTTTAACAGTTAATGCTCGTATTGAATGTCGATCTCATCGACTTCATGTTGAAGATCCTGTTACAATTGAATATATAACTCGATATATTGCTGATTTACAACAAAAATATACTCAAGAACGTGGTCGTCGTCCATTTGGTTTATCAACATTAATTGTTGGTTTTGATTAAGATGGTACTCCACGTCTTTATTCAACAGATCCTAGTGGAACTTATCATGAATGGAAAGAAAATGCTATTGGACAACAAGCAAACACTGTTCGGGAATATTTAGAAAAATCTTATACGGAAACAATTTATGAATGAAATCATGAATCAATTAAATTATGTATTAGAGCATTACTTGAAGTTGTACAAAGTGGTTCAAATTAAGTTGCGACATAAACCATTAATAACACTTTCTTCCGATGAAGTTGAAAAATATATTGCTGAAATTGAAAAAGAAAATGAAATTGAAGCTGAAAAGAAAAAACAAGCAAAACAAATAGGTAGTACAACTACTACAACATCAACATTAGCAACTCAAACATCCAAAAAAGAACAAAAGAAATGAAATATCTCCATGAACGATTTTTTTTTCTTAGAAATTTTTTTTTTATTATGGTTAATTCTGTTGCTCCGTTTTTTCTATTACATAAATACAAACGAACAAGAGACATTTCATTTTTAGGTTAAACTTATTCATTTCGAGATTATTACCGGTTTTTTTCATCAAACAAGAAAATAAAAAGAATTAAGTAGGTTAGAGAATTATATTGTTTTTTATTAGAATTCTCAATAGAATCAACTATTTGACTTACTTTTTCTTAATAGGAATCTTTTTTTTTTTAAATTGATAGTTTAAGATGTATCCAAATATAATGTGAAAAACTTTAAAACAGAGTAGAAATAAGAAAGATGTGCTAATACTCATGTATTATAAAATAAAATTTATTATATATGAAAATTGAGAGAAGATAATCTATAGAATTATGGTTTGAAAATAAATAATAATTATTCAAATTTCATCTATATAATTTCATTTTTTTCAGTAGAACTATCACCTCATAAGTATGTGTTCTACAATTAACGAACGAATATTTTATACAATTCAAAAAAAAAAAGAAATCTGGACTTTAATTATGAACAGTAATTGACTGTTTAAACTCAAGGGATGTTTTTCATGAACTTTCTAGGCAATGTGTCAGTTTGGTCTTGGTTCAGTAATAGAAAGTTATTTTTTAAGATAGTTCTTTTAGACAATATACCTGAACATTTCAACTTATTGTGCCAATTGGCCTATATTTGGCTCTCGATTAAGCAGACAACTATTTCTTAGTCATTTTCTGTCAAAGTTTATCTACTTCCACCTAGATAAATAGTGTACGGTTGAGGGTGTGGGTGTGGGTCTGTTTGAAGAGAATAGACACTCACACCCACACCCTCCATACATAATAATCCAAAACTGTGAGATCAGAATTAGTTGTTGGTCATCTGTGCTTATCTATGAAATACTCTGCGCATCATGTCAACGTTTCTTTTTGTATTATTGATAGATGAAATTATCGATCGGCAACTGTTTATCTTCGGTGAGACCATTTTTAGAAGTGTCTAATCATTTTTTGAATACTTAACTTATTTATTTATATCTTCTGTTGACTAACAGTATGAACACATTCTAATGAAAAGTATTTTTATCATCAATGAATAGAATTTTCTTCAGTTGATCAGATAAAAAAGTGAATTAGTTATTCATCAAAAAATGTTCTTGTTCAGAGCATCAAAAATTTGTGTAATAGAATTTTGTTGTTTGCATAGAACAAAAAGTACATATATAAAATAAAGTTTTCTTTGTAAATTGTAGAGATTTTTTCAGTACATCTTGTAATATATTTTGTTTTGTAATCAAAATGAAAAGATGACATGCAAAAACTACTCAATCATTATGACTTACTCATCATTAACTATATTCTTTTTCTAGACAAATGATAACAATGATGATAAACGATCTCGTTCACCTACACCATCATCTCTAAGAAATTCTAAACGTATTTCTTCAACATTTAAACCGTCGATGATTT